AATCACAACAATGGAGTGTAGAATAGTAATTATACAGACTAATTGTTGGTTGCCTGTAGTATGCTACATCATACATATCACTCCTCCTGCCAGAGGGGAGAGTCTGAAACAGTTTGTGTCCAGGGTGGGAGGAGTCAGTTGCCATCTTCCCTGCTCGCCTCAGAGTCCTGGAGGCGTGCAGGTCCATACAGTGATGGAAGATTGCAGCCAATCACCTTCTCTGCAGAGTGAATGATGTGCTGCAGCCTGCCCTTGTCCTGGTAGTGGCAGCAGCGTACCAGATGGTGATGGAGGAGGTGAGGATGGACTCAATGATGGCGGTGTAGAAGTGCACCATCATTGTCTTTGGCAGGCTGAACTTCTTCAGCTGCCGCAGGAAGTTCATCCTCTGCTGGGCCTTCTTGGTGAGGGAGGTGATGTTCAGCTCCCACTTGAGGTCCTGGGAGAAGATGGTGCCCAGGAAGCGGAAGGAGTCCACAGTGGTGACTGAGGAGTCACTCAGGATGATGGGGGAGGATGGGGCTGGGCTCTTTCTGAAGTCCACGACCTTCTCCACTGTCTTCAGATAGTTCCAGACTGTTCTGGCTGCACCAGGTCACCAGATGGTCCATCTCCCACCTGTAGGCGGACTCATCCCCACCAGAGATGAGGGTGGTGTCATCCGCAAACTTCAAGAGCTTGACAGACAGGTGACTGGAGGTGCAGCTGTTGGTGTACAGGGAGAAGAGCAGAGGGGAAAGAACGCAGCCTTGAGGGGATCCAGTGCTGATGGTCCTGGAATCAGAGACATGTTTTCCCAGCTTCACGTGCTGCTTCCTGTCCGTCAGGAAGACAGAGATCCACCTGCAGGTGGAGTCAGGCACGTTCAGCTGGGAGAGCTTGTCCTGTAGCAGGGCCGGGATGATGGTGTTAAAGCAGAGCTGAAGTCCACAAACAGGATCCTGGCGTAGGTTCCTGGGGAGTCCAGGTGCTGGAGCATGTAGTGAAGTGCCATGTTTACTGCATCATCTACAGACCTGTTGGCTCTGTAGGCGAACTGCAGGGAGTCCAGGAGTGGGTCTCCCTCTCCATTAATGGAGAAATTAAGTAATATTCTAATTTTCGGAGATACTGAATTTGGGATTTTCATTAGTTGTCAGTTTTAATCATCACAATTAAATAAAATAAACATTTGAAATATATCAGTCTGTGTGTAATGAATGAATATAATATCCAAGTTTCACTTTTTGAATGGAATTACTGAAATAAATCAACTTTTTGATGATATTCTAAAATTACATTTTACAAACAAAAGACAGGGAGACAAAAAATAAAATAATACAAACAAAATAATAATAAAAACAAAATACATTTGAAACTATGTGTTGCCTTTTCACAAGCGTCTCTCTCTCTCTTCTCTCATGCTCTCTCTCTCTCTCCCTCTGTCTTCTCCAAACTGTGGAGGATGACAGTGGCAGACATCCGCCCACCCTGAGGCCCACCCTGAGTCATGGCTCTGTTCAAGGTACCTGCTAAAAGGAAGTTTTTCCTAGCCAGTGTCGTACTTGCTCGTGGGAACTGTTTATATAAACAAATTATTGCGGTCCAGACCTGCTCTATATGAAAAATCCAATGAGAGAACTTGTATTATTTTTTTTATTATTATTAATTGGCGCTATATACAGTGCCTTGCGAAAGTATTCGGCCCCCTTGAACTTTTCCACCTTTTGCCACATTTCAGGCTTCAAACATAAAGATATAAAACTGTAATTTTTTGTGAAGAATCAACAACAAGTGGGACACAATTGTGAAGTGGAACGAAATTTATTAGATATTCCAAACCTTTTTAACAAATAAAAAACTGAAAAATTGGGCGTGCAAAATTATTCAGCCCCTTTACTTTCAGTGCAGCAAACTCTCTCCAGAAGTTCAGTGAGGATCTCGGAATGATCCAATGTTGACCTAAATGACTAATGATGATAAATAGAATCCACCTGTGTGAAATCAAGTCTCCGTATAAATGCACCTGCTCTGTGATAGTCTCAGAGGTCCGTTTAAAGCGCAGAGAGCATCTTGAAGAACAAGGAACACACCAGGCAGGTCCGAGATACTGTTGTGGAGAAGTTTAAAGCCAGATTTGGATACAAAAAGATTTCCCAAGCTTTAAACATCCCAAGGAGCACTGTGCAAGCGATAATATTGAAATGGAAGGAGTATCAGACCACCGCAAATCTACGAAGACCCGGCCGTCCCTCTAAACTTTCAGCTCATACAAGGAGAAGACTGATCAGAGATGCAGCCAAGAGGCCCATGATCACTCTGGATGAACTGCAGAGATCTACAGCTGAGGTGGGAGACTCAACAATCAGTCGTATACTGCACAAATCTGGCCTTTATGGAAGAGTGGCAAGAAGAAAGCCATTTCTTAAAGATATCCATAAAAAGTCTCGTTTGAAGTTTGCCACAAGCCACCTGGGAGACACACCAAACATGTGGAAGAAGGTGCTCTGGTCAGATGAAACCAAAATCGAACTTTTTGGCAACAATGCTAAACGTTATGTTTGGTGTAAAAGCAACACAGCTCATCACCCTGAACACACCATCCCCACTGTCAAACATGGTGGTGGCAGCATCATGGTTTGGGCCTGCTTTTCTTCAGCAGGGACAGGGAAGATGGTTAAAATTGATGGGAAGATGGATGGAGCCAAATACAGGACCATTCTGGAAGAAAACCTGATGGAGTCTGCAAAAGACCTGAGACTGGGACGGAGATTTGTCTTCCAACAAGAAAATGATCCAAAACATAAAGCAAAATCTACACTGGAATGGTTTACAAATAAACATATCCAGGTGTTAGAATGGCCAAGTCAAAGTCCAGACCTGAATCCAATCGAGAATCTGTGGAAAGAACTGAAAACTGCTGTTCACAAACGCTCTCCATCCAACCTCACTGAGCTCGAGCTGTTTTGCAAGGAGGAATGGGCAAAAATTTCAGTCTCTCGATGTGCAAAACTGATAAAGACGTACCCCAAGCGACTTACAGCTGTAATCGCAGCAAAAGGTGGCGCTACAAAGTATTAACTTAAGTTTGAAATATCCAATAAATTTTGTTCCACTTCATAATTGTGTCCCACTTGTTGTTGGTTCTTCACAAAAAATTACAGTTTTATATCTTTATGTTTGAAGCCTGAAATGTGGCAAAAGGTCGAAATGTTCAAGGGGGCCGAATACTTTCGCAAGGCACTGTAAATGAAATGAAATTGTATTGTGTGTTCTCCTTTGAGAAACGAATCAGAAACCAAAAGGTAAACATGTGTATGTTGTATATTTTGGCTTCACATTGGCACCCCTTAGTTTTGCGTTAGACACAATACCCTTCCATTATCAAGCTACATAGATGAAGGCCTTTTTTTGATACAGCCAATCAGCAGTAAAGTCAGTGTTCTATCATAGGCAGAGCAGACGTCACACGGAGCCAATCAGCAGCCTGCTACACACCACAAGGGATACAGACTTTTGAACAACAAGACACATTAGCTTTCCTGCTAAAGTCTCCTTTTTATCTCACAAACATGAACATAGCTCTTGTGCTGCACCTTATCTTGTTGAAAGAGTCACAAAACAAACATTCGCTGGGAAAGAGAGCACTGCTTTTTACAGACTTCACCAGTCTGCTTGCTGGTGAAGTCCTTACTCTTCAATAGCACTAACAACACGCTGTCTCCCAATACCAACGCTCTCAGAAAAAGTGACGTAACGTAGTTATTTGACTGTGTGTGAGACGCACCGGGTGCGTCTTATAGACGCATATAGTCTCTATGAGACGCTCTGGGGCGTTCTGTACAGACCGGAAGTGCTAGTTAGCTAGCAGTAGCTATGTTCGTGATAAAGGTGTTGACAGGGTAAGCTTCTCTTGTGTTGCTGCAACGTAGCAAATGAGGGTGTTTCATACAGATGCTGAAGGGTACCGTTAGCGTAAAATCCATGTCTGAAAGTGTCAGCATTGAAATGGGAATGCGTTGGATACGTAGGCTACAGCGCAAGTTTCATTACTTTACTCTTGTTCCTTACAGTGTAATACAGGCGCTCTGAGAGCCAAAGACGTTTTTCTTCATTATAATGATAAAAAACTATTAACATTGTCCTAACCTAGTCCTGCTATGTCCATATAGTGCTGGGCTGCAGCAGATGATGAAGGTGTGCTCTCAGTATGGCCTTGATTATGACATAAAGTATAACGCTAAGAAAAGTCAGATAATGATAGTTAGAAACGATGAGGACAGGAAGTCAACTTTCCCGACCTTTTATTTGTCAGATAGCCCTCTTGCTGTGTGTGAGGAAGTTAAATATTTAGGTCATGTCATATCTAATGACTGGACGGATGACAAAGACCTATAGCATCATTTATTCTCAAGCTAACGTGCTTATAAGGAACTTTTCCATGTGTTCTGACCGTGTGAAGTGCTCTCTGTTTAGAACCTACATTACACCGCTTTGTACTGCTCAGTTGTGGTCTAACTATAAGAAAAAGAGTATGTAGAGGCTTAAGGTAGCATATAATGATGCAATGAGGCTGCTGCTTCATGTCCCTAGGTGGCATAGTGCTAATCATTTGTTTGTGTCTACTAGAGTGCCAACTTGGTAGGCACTCTTAAGAAAACTGATGTTTAGTTTTATGTGTCGCCTGGACAAGTCAGAGAATCAGATAATTGAAGCCATAGTCAGTCCTCTGAAAAGCTGCTATAGATACACTTCTAGGTGAAGATGACATTGGTGCAATAGTCTGTATATCCAAGGCTAATATGTATTTTTTATATTTATGTATTTCCTTGTATTGTGTACTGTATGATGTGTTATATGGACCTGTGTCTGCAATAAAGTTATTAATTTAATTGCATTTAAAAAACATGTAGACATCATTGTTTACTACAGAAAGGGATTTCAGTTGGACTTTAAATTACAAGAAGTGATGGACTATCATTTCTTTGCTCTTAATTTGTTTATGCATCCAGGAGTTGTGACCCTCTATACTACAACAGAAGAACAGGTCTTTATCTTTTCTCTTTCTTTCTTCATGTCTAATGAGTAACCCACTAGTTCCAGTAAAGCAGGTCTCTGGGCGTGTCGATGCTTGCTGCAGTCTGCCTGACTGTCTTTTGCAGCATGAGTGATGTTATTTGTGGCTGCACATGATAAGACATCTTCCTGCGTGTGTTCGTGTGTATGTGTATGTGTGTGTGTGTGTGTGTGTGTGTGTTCTTAGTCTATTTGCAATGGAATAAAGGACGCTCCGCCCACCTTTGCCTGTGAGCTTCACTGACAGGCAGGTCAGAGCCAGGTCAGAAACTGAAGGAAATTCTAGGGAACATAGGAAACCATAAAGCGTAAAGGTATTTTTTATTATCTTACTTAAAATCATGGTGGGTTACTGAAGTGCAATGCTTGCTTTTCCTGCCCTGCTTTCTCTGTTTTAAGTTGGATTTACTCCCTGTGTTTACTGTCAATGACTGTAATTCTAAAGAGGAGCCACACCTACGCTCACAGAGCCATGACAATAGACTGGTAGTTAAACACACAGAGAAAGGATAAAGAGGGGTTAAGGTGTAGGGTGTGGTTAGGAGATTTCTCAGAGGTAAACAGCAGCCATGCTTTGTCCTCGGGCAGTCTTCACATTTCCAGGGATTAGAGGGGGAATTAATAATGCAGAGGAATTCTTCTGGTTTGTGCAAATCAGTTCATTTCTATGTAGGGAGAACATACCACTCGATTAGGGAATGGTATGTTTTTATTTAGGGAAATTACAGTCACAAATATGTAAACATGTCTACATATCTGTGATTGTAATTTCCCCTAAGTAAAGAGCTACCAATCCCTTAACCGAGTGGTATTTTCTCCCTACATGGAAATGAACTGGTAGTAATATATGGTATAGGTATAGCGCTGTCCATGTTGTGTTCACTTTTACAATGTATGTTTAATATGGACATCAGTTCCATTATGAACACTCTGGCATTACTTTATTTTCTCAGCCCACTACTATGAAATAGATAAATTACAAGACATTAAAGGATTCAGTTTTCTTCCTGTACATTCTTAACGGAGCCTACTTGAAATCTGTTTCTGTCCAGTAAATTTCTGATGTTACTCAGCCTGGCAAATGGGAGTTGGGTATCTAATTCCAATAAAAAGTATTTCAATAGGAAGCATCAGGGAGATTGGGCTAGTGGAATGGAAACATGATTAGCATCACAAGACACAACATTATGTTTTTGCCCTGCAGCAGCTGTCAGGTATTGTGCATAATTAACTGCCCAAGTGAATTTTACTTTTGTTATCGCTTGGAAGATAACATAAAAAGGGAACAAGCTGTTCCCCTCACATAGCATATGACAGGAAATCATCCTGCTTCTCAGCGGTTTCTGGCAGGTCAAACATGATGCTCATATTTGACCTCTCCTCCATGTGCCTATTTCAGTCTGTCTTCATCAGCCAGTGTCACACTGAATCAACATTTCCAGTATATCAACTTGTGAGTTGAGGGACTTTTGGCTCCACACCATTGTTTGCCAAGCTGCTGAAGCTGAAAATCTCTAGACAAACAAAATATTTTTAGCGCAACAATACTTATATTCTGTTTATGTAAGCAGTGGTGGATGAAGTAAACAAATCCTTCAGTTTAAATTTCTACTTGAGTCAAAGTACAAAGTATCAAAAGGGAAAAGTGCTATTAGTATGGTTATGTTTGTCAGAGGTTGCTGACATGACAAGTAGAATTTAAAAATACAGTAGGCAAACTTATTTTTATGGAACAATGATATTCTTTTTAAATAGGTTGCCCTTCGAATACTAATTAAAGTTACACAGGTTGTGTTGTGTGTCAGTGGTGAAGTATTCAGATCCTTTGCTTAAGTAAAAGTACTTATACCACGCTGTAAAAATACTGCATTGAAAATGTTCGTAAAGTAAAAGTATGTAAGTTTAATCGGGACAATGTACGTAAAGTATTAAAGTAAAAGTACTCATTGCAGAAAGAAAAATTTCCATGACTGTGACTGTTATATGTTAGGTCATTATTATTATTATTATTATTATTATTATTATGCATGCATTAAGAGTTCATTTTTAACTCTTTTGTATCAAGTGCAACTAATGATTATTTTCTCCATTAATTGATTTTCAAAATAGTGAGAAATGCCGTCATCATTCCCCAGATGGACCCTAAAGGTAGGTAGAGCGGGGTTTCATCTGTATAACAATGGAAGACACATTATGTTTGTGGATGAAATGAGAGAAGTGCCCGCCCACCACAGGAGGAGGTGGGAGCAATCTTTCAACAGAGTTTCAGTCTGAGTTCCCCCAGCATGACCGACAGACTCATTACACCATGACTCACCAGCTCCCAGGGACATAACTCACACATGCTCAAGCATATTCCCATCCCGTGCTCTGCGCTCTCAGAACACAGGGACGCTTTCTGTCCAAAGTTAAAAAGACGTCAGCTGGCTGCAGGGCCTTTTCTTATCGTGACCACTTTCTTTGGAATAACCTCCCTGCTGACTTCAGACAATCTAACTCTATTGAGGCCTTTATGTAGGAATTTAGGTTAAAAAATATAATCAACAGAATGTGAAGAAATCACTCATCATGACAGACTTTATGTCAAACACATGTGTTCTGTTGCAGAGACGTCTACTTAAGTTAGAATGCTAGCTAGCTAGCCTTGGCACAGCTGTCTCTCTCTCTCTCTCTCTCTCTGGATTTTGCCTCTTGTGTGTTTGTGTAGTCACTCACTCTTGCAGGTTCCGTGGTGGAGGAGGTCATGTTCAGTTTTTTTTAGCGTCAAAGGACAAAGGTTGTCATATGCTGCAGATTTGTGATATTGGGCTATATAAATACAATTGGCATGGCTTGACACACACTCAGAGCAAACAGGAAGTTACATAGAGGGAAACTATCCAAGCATGTCATCTATACTTTAACTCATCATGACAGTGTGATTACGAATGTTTCACCACTTTCTTCACCTTCTTCTTTTTTGTGTAGACTACTTTGTTCAGAGTAAGAGAAGAACAGGTTTCTATTATCATGATAATCTTAAAGCTTAACACTGGATAACACTCAAACACAGCTTGTTATAAACATGAAAGCAGCAGTAATCTGCTCACCTTGCTGTTTTATTTTCTACGTACGCACATACCTTCTCTTCCTGCACACACACCGGCTTGCCTGAGCCTGCCTCTCTGTCTCTCTCTCCCTGTATGTGTCTGATCTGTTGATTTTTGCCGTCTATCGAAACCAACGCTGTTCACTGTTGCTTTGCCTGGCCTGTGCTTGTAAAATATCCACTGTGTCCACGTCTTGTAACGTAATACTAGAGATTTGGGCCCTACACATTAGCAGTCCCTGTGGGCCCCCTTCCTCTCTTGGTACCTGTCTCTCAGCATCTTTTGAAAAATGTTTACAAAAAATTGAGCTAACAACTGTACAAATTAATGTGTAGTGGTGATTAGGGTAGTCACAAATGCACTGTAAATGCTCCGTATTTGTATAGCGCCCTTCTAGTCTTTTCGACCACTCAAAGTTCTTTGACACTACATCCACAAAAGAAACAGAAACTAACATTTACAGACTGGCAGAGCAGCCACAAGGGACAATTCCAGGTTCAGACATGCGGCCTAGGGGGGGACAGGGATTGAACCGCTGACCTTCCGATTAACAGCTAACCTGCTCTACCACCTGAATCACAGCCAACCCGCTGTTCAGCCTACATTTAAACAAGTAATAATCTGAAACATACATGCTTGATATTAGTCTGTTAGCCTGTTTATAGACTAACAACATACAATAAAACAGGCTACTTGATATTATTGGTGCTAAGCTCCTTTCAGTTGAAACAGCTGCAAAGTTGCCATGTGTTGAGGGGACATGTGTTTCCTGATGTTTGCTTTGGTAGGTAATGTTGGTAGACACAATGTCATATGACACTGTAGCTATGATGATCATTCATTTATGATGCTGATAAATAATTTATGTTCTAGCCTACGATGCAAATGTGTGTCAAGCTCAATTCCTCTTCGTCTGCCTTCAATCTAAACGACTAACTGCTGATGTTAGTCCAAACCATTCTTTAACTGTGTTAGTTGTGATTGTGCTCACATTTCTTTGAAACAAAATTAGCAGTTGTTTTACTTCTCTTTATTTTATTTTCTATTTTGGTGCGCCAAATTCCCTTTCTTGGGTAAAGATGTGACTGTCACAAGGCACGTTGCTCCAGCATTTTTGCAAACAAAAACAAACGGTTCATTCAGACTATTCGAGGGCCCTCCCCACATTGTGGTCCTGGGTGATCACTTCTACTCCCCCCCCCACTTCTAACGCCCCTGCCCGGAAACCCACCCTACCCATTTTCACAATCCGCTCACTGATTCATTCCCAGCTGGTGCCACAATTCATCTCCCTTCTGTTATGTGCAGTGCTTGAAGTGGAAAAAATCTAGTGTCAGTACTTGCCATTCATGTGTTGGCACGTATCTCCCCTTAGATAACAGTATAAACTAGGCTACTATGTAGCTTACTAGTAGACTACAGTATTTATTCCAGTTCAACAAAACAGCTGTTTTATTTTTTTGTTTTGTTTTCATTCATTAAATTATTGTGCAAGAAAAATGCTCTACATGGTGGTTAGTCTGTGATGTGTTAATGCTAAGTACTAACTTGTCATAATCGTAACCATTTATGCAGAACAACAATTCAAGAGTTTAACAATTCATAAGTTATAGAAAAGGGGTGGGGACATAAGGACTCAGATTAGAGGTGTGACATTACACCTGGGTAACCAGAAAAAGACAAGGGGGCTGTTGGGAAGGTTCCCGAAGCCAGAGAAGTATTTATCACATGATTGATCGCCGGCACCACGGTAGGAGATATGGCCTGGAGGAGATTGGTTGGAATCAGGTCCAGTGGGCATGTAGTGGGACAGCTTTATTTCAGGAGTTCTGATGCTTCACTCTCCGTGAGAGGAGTAAACGAGGAGAGTGAAGTGCCATTGACCTGAGAAGACAGAGGAAAAATATTATGGTTTTATAATATAAAAAATAATGTTTCCACTCCAGTTACTATGCCATGTCTATGGAGTGGTTAATGAAAAACCCTAATTATGTGACACAACATAATAGTCTGATCATTTATGTGTATAATATTTAGCATCAGAAAGGCCAAAACCCAACTGGCATCATCATTTCCATTTTATAGTTCTCCATAACTGTGCAAAATATGAGGGTGTCAAATGAATGAAAAAAGACACCCCTGTTCTACATCTTCTAGCTTTGTGCCTGCTTCAAGTCTGCCTTATTGAGTGCAATGAAAACCTAGTAAAACTAATTTCACATAGA